TTTATATTACTCTTTTAGTTGAATTTAATTCCGGCAAAAAAACACGTCATTAATATTTTTTATGTTTAAGAAATTTAATTTTTATAATTTATTTTTCAGAAGACGAACATTAGTACATCAACAACTATTTGGAAACTATAGGTACTTCGGAATATGTACACTCGCTCAGGAGCATATTAATAAATACATCAATGTTGATTTTAAAAATTCGCTCATAAATCAATTTTAAAGTGATTTTCCTCAAGATGAAATTGAAAATATTGTATTTTGGATTTTAACCCAATCTCTGTATCGTCAAATACAAAAAAGTAGTTCATTATTATCAATGTATAAAAATAACAGTGCTATCTGCGATACGTGAATTGTTTGAATATTGTTTGCATATTTAATCCTGATTCGTCTCAACAGTTAAGGCAACTCCAATTTTATACTTCACAATATTCATAATATTATTATGAAAACAAATATTGAACGTACAGTGAAAGTTCTGAGAAAAAGTTTTTCCACTTCGGTTTTGCAATAATAGTCAATTCAACAGTAACATCTATTTTTTTTTTCACCGCCTCTCGTCTAGTCCTCCAGTGACGTATTTAAGAATTTGTCATTGGGAGGGTCCAGATAATTTTCAGAACACAGAGCCACGGGGGACGAAGCCCCCCACACCACCCATTTACTCTTTATTAAATAAAATATACCATATATTTTATAAGACGATATAAAATTGTCGAGTTTTTAATTATTAAATAATAATATGTAGGTACAAAACAAATTTAAAAAAAAGCGGGTGATTGGATGTCACTCTGCTGCTGTACAGTAGGTTACAAGTGGGTCAATGTATAATGGATTGTATTAAACTTAAACTCAATGATATAATATCATAATATCATTGTATAAGAAAAACGATTCTGAGCGAAGACGGTTTGTCAGTCTGGATATTTTATATTGTTATTAATTATTATAGCCTGTAAGTTGAATTAATAATGAAATACTTTTATTTTTTATTTTTTTCTATGGTGATAGACAAAGTGTTAGAAATTAAGATCCTATTTTTAGCGGTTTTTGGTAATTTTTTGGTAGTTTTTACAGTAGCATTAAATAACTATTGAGAAAATCGAAAAATTACCTCTCTAAAGTACTATCTTGATCCAATTTTCTAAAAGATAAGTTACTATATGTCTATACATGTTGAAATCGAAGAACTCCTTCTGGAAGAAATTTTGTATACAGGAAAAAAAATAAACACCATTGTAGAACCAATAGATCCCTCAGAATCGAATATATATTATATAGTTATATGTTATAACTTTTATACAAATATTTCCTTAATTACATTAGGTGCCTACTTCATTCATAGTTGATCTTTGATAGCTTTTCAACCTTAAAAAGGTTGAAAAAGATCTCTCTGGAGTGGTTGTAGATACTGGCAATGTACAAAACTACAAAATATTTGAATTAAAAATGAATTTGGTATTTTTCAACCATGTTCGGTACCCAACTGATAAAAATAATCACGATATTTATTGAAAATGTTGATATAACTATATAGCTTCGAACATTTTTTATAAAATCCGTAAAATCGTATGATAAAATTTGTTTTTTAATCATGTTAAAACTGCACAACATTTAACATGTACGAGACACGAGTCAATGGGAGGGGTCCGGACCCCATGGACCCCCCCCCCTAAATACGCCACTGTAGTCCTCAATCGAAACACTAATAATTGGACGGGACGACCAATACGACCATATACGTATAGGTATATTATACAACAACAATATTATGTATCCCGTTAAATTCGTCAATTCTGTTGGTGTTTACGTATAGAAACGTCTGATGAATAAAAAAAAAAAAAAACGTTTTTGTAATCACGACTTCGATGACGCACTCAGGTGAGCCAATGACGATTGCAACGATATTATCACGTCAAATATAAAAAATGAAAATCCTTAATGATTTAAAAATAAACCTCGCTGGGAGAATTTCACCACCGAGTAGGCCGGATCGGTGGGTCGCACAGTGTTCCAGAAATTTGATTTAGGTGGACAAAATGAGAATTTTCATAATCATTAATTGAACATAAAAATGAATTTAATTTGTTGATAGTCAGTGACTAATTATATAATATTGGTTTTTAAATTGATACGCTATCGCATACAGTTATAACAGTGTACTGATTATTCTAATAGTCTGAGAAAAGATTTTCAATTACCAGCTAAATTGTTTGAGCGTATAGGTTTTATACCGTTAGTGTCGTTCGTTGAATGAAGTTAGTCCGTTCATTTTTCTTCAACATTATGGATACACTAGTGGAAGGTATGTATATTTTTTTTTATTAAGTTTTGCATGAACAATTTAAGTAATATATATATAGAAATATTTAAAAATGTAAGATACATTTTTTTTTAATTATTGAGGATACTGAAAAAATAGTAGTGGATAGTAGAGGTTTGAACTTGGTGTTTTCTATTAGCTTAACTTGTCCTCTAAACGATATTATATAATTTGGTTGCGGCAAGTTGCTGCACAATACATAGGTACCTATTATATTTAAAAAAAATATTATATTTTTCAAATTCGTCAAAAATTATATTTCACCATAAAACCAAATGACAAAAAAAAAATAACTTATGTAACTTTTTATGTGACACAGAAACAGAGAAAGAAGAATACGAAGCAGCTACATCTGATGGAGAATCTGTCAGTTCTAGTGATTCTGATTTATACAATAATATGTAAAAAAATTATAATCTAATTATATCATTAGAATAATAACTATTAAGCAGTTTATTTTTTAAATTCTAAAAACCTGAATTTTAAAATGATCTAAGTATCCGAAAAGTAAAACAATTTTATAAATAAATAATTTTGTCCTGCTAAAAACCTTTTCCGGAACACTGTGGGTCGCTGTAAATTGCGGCCCATTTTCAAATTTTTATGTAAATTGCGGCCCGGGCATATTTTGTACATGCGTAAACTGCGGCCTGGCTATATTTTATAAATACGTAAATTGCGGCCTGAGTATATTTTATACATACGTCAATTGCGGCCAGGGTATAATTTGTATTAGGTACCTACCCAAATATTTTTTATTTATAAGTAATAATTACGTCTAAGCCTTTTTTTGCAAAATCAATATTTTCCTTCTCATTTTTCAGACTTAGGACATATCATCAATGGGTTTTCTTTTTAAACTGTTGTTCAGTTTCTGTCGATTTATTATTTGTTCCGAAATTTTAAAATGACTTTTGTGATCTTTAAAACTATCTATATAAATATTATTATTATTAAATTTCAAAAAACACTTACACGTTTTAACTGTGCATACCCAGCGCTGAATATCATTTTTTAGCATTTTGTGAAAACGAAATTTGAAACCATCAACTACTTTCAACGTTTTATTCCTTTCACTTTTCATAACGTCCATTTTTATTGAATTGAAAAAAAATTTAAACTGTAGAGCAACGTAAAACCTCGTGCGTGGTCTTCGATCAAATGCACACTGGCTTCTAATAATATATGATATTAGTGAACATATTATTATTATCTACATTGATCAATCAAAGATTAATACTTATCTTTAAATTGTACAGCCGACTGCAATTTACGTACATTTCAAATATACCCCGGACGCAATTTACGCATGTTTTAAAAGTACATGGGCCGAAATGTATATAACTATAACCTTTTTTGGGGGACGTAATTTACCGGCTCCGGGATTGGTCTGGAGCACACCGGATGTGTGTTGTAGATAATAATATTATACCTTGAATGTTTCCGAGTGACGGAAGTACAATGGAAGAACGTGGTTTTCGAGAAACAATCCCGCTTCGGGTATAGGCACATAATAGTATTAGGTATATAATATCCTTTTATTGAACATTACGTATAAAAGAAAAAACAAACTTATTACAATCGACAAAACTTAAATATAAAAATCGTAAAAAATTTTCGTATGAGATAATTCGCTTGTCACTATACAAAATATTATGTTCTGTATTATATTATTATTTCAATGACCAAATCAATTATAATAAACTGCGACCACGTAACTTAATACGTTTAGTACATTTTTGAAACATTTAATTGTAACTGTTAATTATTGTGGAATATGTTGATCATCATGCTTCTAACACAACGAACTTCGGAGCACAGAAATAATGTAGGTTGGTAATTAAAAAAATAGTTATCTCGTGTTTTTAAAAAGATTTGACGATTTTAGTGTATCCTCGCATAATCATACATTTTTAAAAATTATTCGTGTTTATTGGTCTAGGTGATTTCTGGGACCTGTTGCCATGTTATCAATATTATTATTTTAATCGTATTGCTTTTACTAATATTAAGGCCTCATGGCACAACATATTTTTAGATTTACAATTTATTGAAAACTTAAGTAAAATTACCTAGATATTTGAATGGAAAAATACTAGACTACCAACCCACTATGCTTTATTATGGATTTTTTTTTTATTTTAATAAAAGATAATAATATTTATTTTATTTTTGTTATTCGAGAGTTTAGCACAAAGTCCTTATGTTTGTATAATATTATGGCTCATGGACTCAAAAAATGTTGACGAAAGTTTCCAATATTCTTTTTAGAGATATCAGGGAATTTCAGAAATTAGTTTGCACCACTTTTGAAAATAAACCTAGTCAACGGCGAAACGGGTAGATTTATCACCTCAGTGGAATTAGTTCACAATGATACACACCGATGACGATGGGCCAGCGATACACCTTTAGCACCGTATTTTGTGTTCGCTCATTTTTGCTCGGGTGAAGTCAGGTTTTACAACTAGTATACAGCCCGTCCATTTCATCTTGACACTCGTCATTCGTTAAAGTTTAAAAAAAAACAGTGGTTCAAAAATTTATTTTTTTTCAATACAATAAGGGTTTTCAGACCCTTGGTTTTTTTTAAGAACGAAACGGTCTCTAAGTTGGCTGACGAACTGGACGAGTCATAATAATATTATATTTTAAATAGGTAGTACCATTAAACCACCGGCGAGAGCGTGCCGTGCTCAGATATTAATAACCTTCGGGTCTTCAGCGGTGCGACCGGCCACGACCGGCACGTTCTGAGCACCAGGGCCACTCGCATGGAACCACTGGCCTGCGCCGTCACGGCCCACGGGCTGCGGCCGGTCCACGCCCGCCCACAGGTGCTGTTGCTGTTGGACGTCCCGCGGGTGCGGCCGCTGTTCGCTGAGGGCCCAGTATCTCCCGGCGGATCTGCTCCACGTCCAGCTTGTACGCGCACACGACGGCCGTCCACCGGTGCCTTGACCGTTTCCATCGACGCCTCCGTGTTGCCTGACGTCGCCCGGTCAGCACTGCATGACCGGCCGTGGTCGTCGCGTGCGTCGATCGGTACGAACAAGCCGCGGTACACCTCCCTTCAACCACCGACCGACCGATTGACGCCGCTCGGTAACGTGGTCGTTGCGTTGGACCTGTACAATACTCGCGATCGCGGTTGTATTGTAGGGGCGGTATGAACAATACTGACTTCTGCAGCACACACAACAACAACAACAACAACGAAGTGTCATACCAGGTGATTCTTTCAATGGTAAATATCACTCGTCGTCTAGGAAAGGTACCTATTTACGGTTTTTGAAAATATTTTTCCAAGAATTTTAATAAAAATCAAATTTCAAACGAGATCGCGTCGATTGTAGTTAGGGATCTAGTAAATCAGTAAGTACCTAGCTAGTCATAAGCATAGACCCAACTAAGTTAACAAAATTATTAATTTCAAATAACCCATCGACGGCTTATAATATAATAATTATAATATTATATAAGAATATTTTTGACGTGGTTAAATCTTAGCCCCCCCCCCCCCCTTCGTTACAAAACTGGTTATAAGTAGGGCTGAGTTTTGATGCACTCTGCATATTGTTTTCAAACTCGACGACGCTCATTTATACATAATATTATGTAATACGTCTCGTGTGCTTTCTAATCATACAAGAAGTTATCGTTTTAAATCTTTTGATAGTTTTTGATTTTTAACATATTTTTTTAAAATTTGTTTAGTACATTGTAGATTTTTACTTTTAAAGTAACTTTATAACGTTTTAACAATATGGGTTTCACTTAAGTATATCAGTATAATATAATAATAGGCAATATACAATAACAATATACCTACAAAAATCTGAACACGAACACACTTAATTAATAAATTCGGTTTACAATTATATTGTGTGTGTTTACGATACCATTGCCTGTCGCATATTATAACATAGACGAGTAGGTACCAACTGAAACCAGAAATAATAACCGTTGCTCCTCGCAAACCGGGTAAACATTTATTTTTCAATAGGAATAACATCGTTACCTACCAATAAATACGACAAGATAATAATAATTATAATAATCGGGATAACCGCATACCAGAAATCGAGTAAGATAGACCGACGTGACTTTTGATATTATATTAAGTACCTAATGTGCTGATGTCATTGTGCAGCATGCTGAATATAATAATAACCTATTCATATATGCATGGTTGACTGAAATGCGACTCCCTCGTTCACTGGTATAATAATATATACCTACGTGAAATACGGAAATGAACGAAAACGAGAAAAATCACAAGAAAACAATATAATAAATAACATCCGTTCGTAGGGCGACCTTTGAATATTCGATTTAATAATGAATAAGCGTGCCGCGTGCGGATTCGGCGGACTTCGTTCTAAGTCAAAGTTTAAAACGTAAGTTGAATTGATACTGTCGCTACGTGACTGCGCACGGATAGATTTTCAATATAAAATGACAGTTTGTTTTAATCTCGAAATAATTAATTGTCGTTTCGATGTGTATTTTAGTAGGTATAAAATAGTTTATTGTATTTGTATGTAATGCAATGACGAGAGATACATTTCGAGACTAGGTACTTGATATAATAATAGTACCAATAATATTGTATGTACCTTCTCATAATATTTAAAGTAGGTAATCATTATTCATCGCAGTATGTGCATTTCTCATATAAATCAAAAACTGGATGGATTAGTGTTTCGTTTAGTGGTTAAAAATTACACAATTCGTAGATAGTTCAAAATAACAATATAGGTATTCGGCGGACTTTTGACAACGATTTAATAATGAATAAGCGTTCGGATTCGGAGGACTTCTTTCTAAGTAGAAGTTTTTAACGTAAGTTGAATTGATACTAACGCGACGTGACTGCGCACAGATCGCGTTTCAATATAAAATTACGATTTGTTTTAATAACTATTGAAATAATTAATTGTCGTCTCGATGTATACTGTAGTAGGTACCTATATAATATATATTATATTATATCGTACATTGTATTTGTAATTTGTATGTACAAACAGCAGTGATGAGAGATACTTTTCTAAACTAATAGTATATTTTTATGGGCTCCCACACGAACATGTTCAGTTGGGCCGATTATCTTCTTGAAGAATAAATAAAAATTTAAAAAAAATTTTAAAAAAAAAATAATTTTTTTTTTTTATTAGGGTTGAGGCTTCGACAACAAAGGTCATTAGCCAGTGGTACTGTAGGGGGGGACTGTAGTGGGTTTTGGCAGAATTTTCGATTTGGGCACCAGTAAGTATCTGCCATGCCCGGGTGGGGGATGGCGGCATTTGTTCTCCGGATACCGTGACTTGCCCGAAGAAAAATGCCGCCCGTGACTACGGGATCGAACCGGCGCCGGCAGCGTCGACGCCTTAGACCGCTTGGCCACTCCGTCCCCCAAAATTATAATAATATAATAGTAAATAATTAAGGGTACCTATTCATAATATTATTTAGAGCAGTGGTTCTTAACCTTTTTTAGTTCAGCTCCCCCTTTATCGTAATAACTTACTGCTAACGCCCCCCCTCAAAATCAAAATTTCTTCTAATAAAGATATATATATATTTATTTATTCATCAGTATATTACAGTATAACATTATTAATTAAAGTAAAAACTCTTATTTTTAGATAATAAAAGTTATATTTTTTACCACTTAACAAAAAGAATTACTTAACTATGAAAAAAAAAATTATAAAATATAAAAATTATACCTATCAATGACTGCCCTGAGCCTGATGAGTAGCTGCTAACGTGGCGAAGTCTGGTTCGATATTGGTCAAAGCTAAACGTAGATCACCTTTGTTACAAATGTACAACCGATTTCTTTGTTTCGTCAAAAGCTGAATCTTTTTTAAACTTGCAAGGTACAGTATACAATAGTCCAGTTATGGTTGAAAATTTAAAAATAAATTTTTTATAAACAAGACGTTTCCGATACGTAAAATGCGATTAGATAACATTCCGTATGTCGTTGTATCGTAAGCAATTACAACTATTCTGATTTCACGTTCAATTATTTGTAAGTGTTGTTATATAATATTAATAAATTGTATTATTTTTAATCTCTTAGCTTGAAAAAGCTCACCGCCCCCTCAACGCCCCCCATAGAGACCGAAATGCCCCCAAGGGGGCGGTAGCGCCCCCGTTAAGAACCACTGATTTAGAGTAATTATTATTTGTTACATTTCTCATATTATGAATAAAAAACTGAATAAATTAGTTTAAAATAGCTATAAATCACAAAATACATAGATGACTTAAGATTAACAATAGGTTAGGTATACCCAATATACCTACGTGTGAAATTATGACACTATGTTTGGATAAAATACTTTAAAATTTTCGTTTTTAAATTACCTCTATTATCATTAAAACAACTACAGTATACAACCATAGCAATATTGTAGGTATACAATATTATTGCATGCATATTGTATAGTTGGTTTTTCATCTGAATTTAGTCTATTGGATGAAATGTTTGAATGAAAAATCATAAAATTATGAAACGATGCACTATAGAAAGTAATTTATAATATGTATATTGTATATGAACCTTATACGTTGTACGTATAGCGTAACGTAATATTTGTATATTTCATATTTTCTTTTAATATTGTAATAAAATATTTATAGTATAAAAATAATAATGGTTGTTGGTGTAAAGAATTTATATGATAACAAGTGAAACCTATTATTATAATATTATTATGTTGGCTGAAAAGTAATGTATAAAAACTGTCCTGGCCACAATAGGTACCTACAACACTTGTTTGCTTTTTTCATCGTCTGTTTTATTAAACAGTTGTTTATATTTTTAATCCGAACAAATTCACGAGTTTCTATTTTATTTTTATTTTTCGACCGAAAGGTCATAATTTGTTTTAGTTTCCATAGTCGATTTAATTTTTTAGCGAGCAATTTTAAAATTAGTTTAAATGTTTTTTCATAAAGTAATTTATTTTAATTAACGTTCGATAATAATATGTATCGTGATTGGACTTGAATACTATTCTGGCGGTTCGGTACCTGCGTTTCGAAGTATGCACATCAAGCTAGCTATTGTATTCAAAAACGGCGAACAAGAAAGTCAATTATACAACGGATACGTGAAACGAATATTCCTTTAGAGCAGTCAAATTTTGATTAAATGAAAAGCGGTGAGTTGTGTTGATAGCATACTACTATATTATCTTGTTTAGTTTAGTTAATTATTTTTAGAAATAATATTTACTCTGTACACCTGTAAGTCAAGATTATTGATTATATGACTACATAGTATTTGTTTTGGGACACTAATGTACCTACTTGTATAATATTTAATAACAATTCATTATACATAATATATATATTAACCCTTAACTTGGTGTTGTATCTTTTTGGATACACAAAGTTTGTGAATTTTTGTACGGAATCCGATGTACAATATTTTTATTTTTATTATTTGTACACTGTGATAAATGTCATATATCCTACGTGAGTACATTACGATAACGTTTCTATGATGATTGTGATTATAACTGTTTTTTGTTATCATTTTTTGGAAATTTAAAGCCGATCAAACTCGTTGACTTCAACTGCTAATTTCATCAAATTTTAATGTGTTACGAGAGTCTATTTCGCATAAACTCAGTTAATGTGTGTATAATTATAATTTTTATGTAAAGTTTCTAATAATATATGCAATAATGCTTATTTTATATCAATTTTAAAAGTATGTATCCAAAAAGATACATTGCTTGATTTCTTTATTATGTTAGTATTTTAGAAAATACATATTCAATTTATACAATAAGTATTATATAATAAATATTTTTTTAGATCATTCCAAAAAAATGCAACGCCGTAGAGCAGAAAAAATGAAACTACATACCTACTGTTGATTTTAATTTTAATTTTTAAATATTCCTATGCTAGTATTAATTAAAAACGAATTTCTGTGATAATTAATAC